GCCGTGGGTGGCGGGCGCCAGCTGGACTGAGGAGGTGAGGGTCCCCAGCCGCGCCGTGGACTGCAGCGCGCCGCCCAGGGGTATGTGCTGCGACTTGGATGCGAGCTTCTCGATTTCCTGAGGGGCAGCGACACACACACACACACACACACATGGGAAAAGGAGGTTGCATGAGAGTGAGAGCGTCAGTTGCTTGGTGGAGTCAAGGTTTGGTCTGGCCTATGACAAATGACAGGGCGAAAAGGCGCAGCCATGCATGCCCCCCCGGGACTTTCGCCTGTCCCACCACTCCCACACGCAGCCCACTTGCCCGACACACCCACCACCTGGCATCATATCCCTCCACTGACACAACACCAACACCATCGATGCATTCACACCCCCCCTTGGAAACTCTGCAAGTGTACGCACCCCCCAAACCATTCACGTATGGATGATCCCGCCCCACCTGCAGTATCTGGCTGGGCCTCGGCGCCAGCGCCCGCTGGAACACCATCAGGGTAAAGTCCGCCAGCAGCGCCGCCGCCGGCGCCGCCAGCACCGCGCCAGCCCAGAACACCGGCGTGCCCAGCAGCCCGGCCCCGAGGCCGCAGAGAGGCGCGAGGCCGGGGGTTGAGGCGCACATGGAGCCGAGGACGGCCAGAAAGGGCACCCACAGGGCGAGGCTGGCCCAGACGGTGGCGTGGTTCAGGGCGGTCCAATACTGGGTACGGATGGCGACCTGGCAGTTTGAGTGTGTGGTAACGTGTTAGATGGAGGGGGTTGCACAAGCGTCAGTCCTTGCATACATGTGTGTGTGTGTGTGTGTGTGTGTGTGTGTGTGTGTGTGTGTGTGTGTGTGTGTGTGTGTGTCTGTGTGCGCACGCGTATGCACTTGTGTGCCAGCAAGAGCATGTGAGCACATTGGATGCGAAGCGAGCAAATAGTGGCGTATGGGACGGCAAGGGATTGCAAGGCCAGCATTAAAGGGCGTGACCAGGGGCCGCGAAGACGGCTGTGAACCTCCTGAAGAACAGGGGCAGGACCCATTGAGCAAGCCATGCTGCGATTTCAGGGATCAAGCAGGTGGACCACAACACACTGGCCCCAGCCACGCGGCCTGTGGGGCACCCGGTGCTGCGCCACACAACACTACACAGCACCGAGCAACGCCCACCCGCAGGGTGACGATGACGATCACTGACGTCATCACCGCGGTGCCGAGGAGGTACACGCTCGCGGTGGCGCCGGCCCTGTTGGGCGTGGCCATGGCGTGCAGCGGTATGAAGAATGCGCAGACGCCGTGCCAGAGGCCCAGGGATATCCACAGCAGCCAGGCGCGGACGAAATCCCTGCAGGGCGTTTGGGATTTTACAGGGTACAGCAGTGGTGTTGAGCACATGTACGTGCGAGTTAGGGGTATGGGTGTGTGCATGTCAGTTTGTGTGTGTGTGTGTATGTTGTGTGTGTGTGTGTGTTTGTGTGTGTGTGTGTGTGTGTGTGTGTTGGTCGTGAGAATTGTTGTGGATAAAGCTGGGGTTTCCAAATGCAGGGTGCGCCTTGGAAGCATGCCATGGTGGAAAACTGGCCAAGCAGTCGGCCGGGCAATGGTGTTCCGGGAACGAAACCGCATGGCCGACATGCACACAGCCCAAATGCTGGCCGGATGCGCCCGGATTGCACCCCACGTTTGAGAACATGGGCTCACCCCCGGGTCTGGGTGCGGGTCTCTGAGTAGAGCTGGGGGTTGGCCATCGCGGCCGCGCACGACACGTCCTGCAGAGGGGAGGAGAGAGGCGGAGTCGGTGCAGCATTGGGGCGATTCTTACAGCCGTGCACCCTCCATTCACGGCCCCACGATCATGCTTGCAGCTCAGCAGGCGCGATGCACAAGCCTTGCACCATGACATTCATGCAGGCTGATGGCGACCCCCATATATGCACTCCACACCCCTCACCTGCTCGCAAATTCCGAAGGCGATGGTGGGCAACGACGCCCAGATGGCGTTGAATGTGGCGATGTAGACAGAGAAAAACAGGGACTGCGCGCTGAAGCCTGGGGCGGGGGATGGCGCGCGGTGGTGACGCTGTGAGCGTGTGTGCATGCGAGATATCGCCGGCGCACGCGCACGCTGAGCTTCAGCGGGGATGCGGGAGTCACACAACGGTTGGCCCCCATGTCGTAGCAGCGGCGGCAGCAGCAGCAGCAGCAGCAGCAGCAGCAGCAGCAGCAGCAGCAGCAGCAGCAGCAGCAGCAGCAGCAGCAGCAATTGGTGAAGTGGGCCTGCCCAGTGGTCGGACTCCCAACCACTAGACGACGTTTATCTGCCCCCAACTCCACCCCCAGCGCACCCGAGTACAGCGTGAAGAAGACGAAGCAGCTGACGTACGCCGCATTCTTGTAAAATGCGTACAGCACTACCTGGGGCGTGGCGGGGGTGATGGGGGTTGTTCAAATCAAAATCCTAAACCTTGAACCCAAAGCCCAGGGCATGGAGGGGTGCGGAGCGGGGTGGTACACGGCGCGATGGAACGGGGTTGAGGCGAGGGGGCACGGGGAGTCGCGAGGCAGCGCAGGGCGTCACACCAGACAGGGTGTCGTGCACAAAGCTACGAGGCCCGCTCAGCAAATGGCAGCACCACACGCACCAGGGACGACCCTCCTCCCACCCAAACAAGGGCACTACACAGGATTAGCACATAGAAAGAACCACGCTGCAAAGAAACGCATGGCGTGCACACGACAGGAGCCGCATGGCCCCTTGCTGACCTCTCGGCAGCGCAGGTACGACTGGCGGCCGTGAACCAGCAGCAGGCGCAGCAGGAACCTGCCAGGGCGCGGGGTAAGGAAGCGGGGCGGGTCTGAGGGGCGGCCGGTCCGGCTGCTGGGCAGACTGGCAAAAGTGGCTGGCTGCCTAGGGCGCCTCGCTTTCCGCTTGACAGGTGACTGTGCCTGGTGGTAATCAGACAAGGCCAAACACCCGGTGGGCAAACCTTACACCCCTGGTGCGCCCCGCCACGGCGCCGGGCTGCTCCGCGAGTACCCCCACGGCCGACAGCCCGACTGTGCTGCGGGCCATACGGACTCAGCCTCCCACCTGATCTGGCACCTCACCCCACCTGAACTGGCCGAAGGCGAAATCGGCCGCCTGCACGGCGGCGCGGCCCTCGCGCCCGCTGATGCCCACGCCAATGTGGGCCGCCTGTGGGGCAGTGATGATGAGTGGTTGTTGGTTGTTCACCTGCTGCCCGGCGTACCATCCCGGCCCTCGTAATACAGGTGATCTAGTTGGTGGCAAGGCGTGTTGCGCAAGTCCGTGGCATGTGCCCCTGTAGTCACCCTCACCCTCAACTTGCACACATTGCACAACGATGTGATCAAAACCCACTGCAGCCCCGCCAAACACTGGCGGCCCAAGATTTGTCCCACCTGAATCATAGAGACATCGTTGGCGCCATCACCGATCGCCAGCGTGACCGCTCCAGCGCAGCGCTTCAGCAGCCGTGCCACCTGCCGGACAAAAACGCCAACACACGCGGCTCCAGGCGTCAGCTATGAGCTGGGCTTGCAACCAGCTGTGACACAAGGAGGGAGGCGGGCGCGCAATAGGCAGGAGCACGCGCACTGCAAGGCACTTCATTTGCTTGCCAGCCGCGATGTACACCGTTGGTTTACTGCGCGATACAGACCAGAACGCCCACCTGCGCCTTTTGCATTGGAGACACCCTGCAGCACACCACCGCGGCGCACGACCGACAGAGGTCCAAAAACTCGCCCTCGTGGGCAGGCTGCAGCGCCAGCGCCAGCGCGGCGCCATCAATCACGAGCCCCACGGGCGCCGCCAACTGCTGCTGCTGCTGCTGCTGCTGCTGGGCCGCCGCTGCCGCGCCGTTGCCGACGGTGCCCGTCGCCGCCCGGCCCGCCGCCAGCAGCCGCCCCGAGGCGGCGGCGGCGCGCAGCGCAGCGACCGCGCGCGCGACGGCGTCGCTGCTGCCCGCGCCCGCAGGCGCCGCGCCAGAGCCCGCGCCGTACACCATCCTGCCGACGGTGGGCCGGCGCCCGCCAAGTAGGCGCCGCGCGAAACCTCGGATCCCGCCGGCGG